TTACAATGACTTCCATGCTACTTTATTTATTCTTTATGACAATTCTATAAAGTAGGTATTATCATTCCTATTTTACAAAGGACTGTGCTCAGAGAGACTAAGTACCTACTGAAACATAGATACTGAGAAAAGCAGTATTCAGGGGTGTCTGACTCTAAAATGCACTTCCCTCTTTTTACTAGGTTGTCTCTGTGTTGTATGTATATATGTGCTAAGCCCTGTGGTAAGCACTCTTACACATGTGTGGTTTCTTTCTATGTATCCACATACCCACAGACATAATCAAGATGGAGCAATCTATTTCCGTAGTGATACTGCCTCAGAAACCCAAGGAGGGGTTGCTATGAGTTGGAGCCAACTGAACGGCAAATAACAACAACTACAACAAAGCACATGAGACCCAGTTCCCAGCAGTGGTTACAATGGTCTCCAATATACATTTACATTTTGCACATTGGGTTATACAGTTCCCTGTCACTATGTGAAGTGAAAGTTCAAAGGCTGTGTATCTGGTGAAGTTTCAGTGTTATTCTCTGCTTTTTAGACTCACCTCATCCTTCCTACATCCATAGAACAGGAAGAAACCTACTATGAGAAAAATAAGTGCAAAGCAACAACCATTCTCAAATTAAACCAGTTACCCATCATCAAGTCCATTCGAACTCGTGGCAACCCCATATGTGTCAGAAGGCAACTGTGTTCCATAAAGTTTTCAATGGCTGAATTTTCAGAAGTAGATCACCAGGCCTTTCATCTGAGGCGCCTCTGGGTGGACTTGAACCACCAACCTTTCAGTTAGTAGCCAAGTGTGTTAACCACTGTACTACTCAGAGACTCCATTCTCAAATTACTGGCAGTATAATATAGAATAGGAGCACTGAATCAAGGCCAACAAGGTAGGGATCGCAGCTTTTCACTTACTAGCTATATGTCCTTGCAAGTTATTTAACCACTCTGTCCCTCAGCTTTCCTCATCTATGAAAATGGAGATAAGAATGGTACCTAAAGTGAAATGAATTATGGAAAAGTGCTTAGAATAGTGGCTGGCCCATAGTAAAAATAAATTTTTTGCCAAAATGGGACAATGAACCTTAAAATATTCTTATTAGATGGAGTAAATAGGTTTTACCCATCCCCAAACCCTTCTAAGGGTTAACACACTGTTAATACAATCCTAACATCCAGCTTTCTGATGTCTTGCATAAATCTTCTACAATCCTTTCTCAGCCTCAGTTTTTCTATATGTAAAACCAAGATAATAACACCAAACCAACCAAAAGAAACCACTGCCATCAAGTCTATTCCAACTCATAGAAACCCTATAGGACAGAGTAGAACCATAGGGTTTCCAAGGATGTAATATTTACCAAAGCAAACTGCCTAGTCTTTCTCCCCAGAGAAGTTGGTGGGTTTGAAACACTGACCTTCCAGTTACCTGCCAAGCACTTAACCACTGAACTATCAGGGCTCCTTAATAATACCAAAAACAAAACAATGACACAATCCCACTGCCACTGAGTCAATTCCAACTCATGGCAACCTTATATGACAGAGTAGAACTGTCCTATAGGGTTTCCAAAGCTGTACTCTTTACAGAAGCACACTGCCACATCTTTCTCCCATAGAGCAGCTGGTGGACTTGAACTGCCAACCTCTTGATTAGCAGCCAAGCACTTTTAACAATTGCATCACCAAAACCAAAATAAACCCTTTACCATCAAGTCAATCCTGACTATAGTAACCCTACAGGACAGAGTAGAACTACTCTACAGAGTTTCCAAGACTATAGCACATCTTTCTCCCAGAGTGGCTGGTGGGTTTGAACCACTAACCTTTCTGTTACCAGCCAAGCAGTTAACCACTGCACCATCAAGAATCCTTAATAATGGCAAAAATAAATAAATAAATAAACCACCAAAAACCCATTGCCCTCAATTCTGACTTACAGTGAACCAATAGGACAGTAGAACTGCTGCATAGGGTTTCTAAGGCTATAAATCTTTATGGAAGCAGACTGCCATATCTTTCTCCCATGGACCAGCTTGTGGGTTCAAACTGCTGGCCTTTCAGTTAACAGCCAAGCACTTTAACCACTGTACCAGCAGAGTTCCTACTAACATCGAAGTGTGAGTTTATAAGAAAGAATAAAAATTCTAGAATATAAACATAGTGTTTGTGTGGGAAAAAAGGAAATGTGATTAATTGCTGCTATAGGTCATTTGCACAATATGTTCCCAAATATTAACCATGTATAGTTAATCTCATTACTCATGGATTCCTTATATGCAAATTCACCCACTCACTAAAACTCATTTGTAACCCTAAAATCAATACTCATTGTGTTTTTGGAGTCACTTACAGACATGCACAGAACAATAAAAAATTTGAGTCACCTGCCATGTATGTTTCTAACTGAGGTCAAATAAGGTGACACTGCCTTCTTGTTTCAGCTTTCATACTATAAATATGTGTCCTTTTTGCAGTCTATTTATATTTCACATGTTTGTGCCTTTTGTTGGTGATTTCATTGCTTAAAATAATTGGTTAAGCATAATGCTGACATCCTGTCTAGTGTTCCAAAGTGCGAGAAGGTTGTGATTGTGTTATGGAGAAAATATGCGTGTGAGATAAGCTTCGTTCGGGCGTGAGTTACAGTGTTGGTGTCAGGAGTTCTATGTTAATGAATCAATAATATGTATTAAGTGTCTTTAAACAGAAATACACATAAAACCAGGTTATATGTTGATCAGTTGACAAAAATGTTGTGACCAGAGCCTCACAAGAACCCATCCTTGTGTTTGCCCTGGGAACAAAGGCTCATTGTTCACAAATTAGTGTTTGCAGTGACTTTACAGAACATAACTTCTTATAAAAAAATAACAAGAATCAACTGTATATTATATTCTAATTTACTGGTGCTAGAGCAGCTCAACATTTAAAAGAACTTTTTGCACCCTTTACCGCTCTAGTTATACTTATGTTGTACAAAAATGTATTGTAATTATCTTTTCTGTTTTCCTTACCAGACCATGATCTCATTAATGGCAGAAGGTATATCTTACTTAATTTTATATTCTCAGTACTTAGAATGGTGCTTGGCCCATTCCAGAAAAACCAAACCTACTGCTATCGAGTCTAATCCAACTCAGCAACCCTATAGGGCAGAGTAGAACTGCCCCATAGGGTTCCCAAAGCTGTAATCTTTACAGAAGCAGACTGACACTTCTTTCTCCCCCAGAGCAGCTGGTAGGTTGAAACTGCTGACCTTTCAGTTAGCAGCCAAGCACTTTAACCACTATGCCAACAGGGCTCTTACACTTGGCACATAGATTTTGTTTATTGAACAATGAATAGGTGAAAGGATGATTATATGACTGCATCACTTATTCTCTTGTAAAGAAAATAATCATCTGTGGGTTTTGTGTCAACCTCAATTTTATTAAAGCAAGCTATCTGAGGAGATTATTGGTTGCCAGGGTATGTCATTATGTGACCCCTGTCTTTCCTCCTGCCATTGAGTCAATTTTGACTCATAGCAACTATATAGAACAGAGTAGAAATGCCCAGAGGGCTTCTAAGGCTGTAAATTTTTACAGAAGCAGATTGTTACATCTTTTTTCCTATGGAGTGGCTGGTGAGTTTGAACAACTGACCTTTCAGTTAGCAGCTGAGAGCTTAAGGGTGCCATAAGGGTTTCTTCTTCTTTCTTTGTTGTTGTTATGTGCCATCGAGTCAGACCCGACTCATAGCGACCCCTCTTTGGGTTTCCGAGGCAGTATCACTACGGAAGTAGATTACCGCATTTTCCTTCTGAGGAGTGGCTGGTGGGTTTGAACCGCGAGCCTTCTGGTTAGCAGTCAAGTGCCTTAGGCACTATGCTATGATTAATGATAATATGCCCATAAAACCAAAACTAAACTTACTGCCTTTGAGTCAATTCTGACTCATAGCGACCTCTCTTTGGGTTTCTGGGGCAGTAAATCTTTACGGAAATAGATTGCTCAGTCTTCCTTCCTCAGAGTGGCTGGTGGGTTTGAACTGCCAGCCTTCTGGTTAGCAGCAAATGCCTTAGGCACCAGGCCACCAGAGCTCCTTATATGCCCATAGTGTTGAATTTTAAAAGTCAGACTCAAACTGATAAAACAAAAATTTACCTCATATCCTTCTATACATATTACAGTGTTCTTCAAGCAGGTGTATATGGTTTCAAAATATAGTTCAAGTGTTAATACTCATAATTATTGGCTTCACATGAGACCATTTAAGAATAATTCTAGGGTTTAAAGAAAGTATCAAGTTATACTGTACTGCTATGCTGGAAGGACTACAGACACTATTTAGAACACACACTTCACTTTTGTAGGTGAGAAAAAAATGAGGACCAGTGATGTCAATGATTTGTTCAAGGTTACACAGCTGATTAGAGACTGAACTAGTTTTGACTCAAGACCCTGTATTCTCAGGCCAGTGACTTTGCAGACACTGAGGCCAGAATTTTCTAGTGATGTCAATTCTGGAAGATACAGGACAGGCCCTGTAAGTCCAGGTTGGCCAAGACAAGGGCATGATTTCAGGAGCACCACATTGTGGTGGTTGATCTGGGCTAACAGCCAATAGAAGAAGAGCCCTGCAGTCCACATTAATGCTCTTGGATATATACAGTCCATTCCCATGGCATTTAACTTTTAAGGTGTTAGAGAAATGCAGGTCGGCAGCTGAAGATAGGCAACATCAGAGGGAGACCCACACAAATACAAAGGCTTCATAATGTCCCTTTGCAATTTTTAAACATTTGAACTTTAAACTTTTTAACTTCAATAAATTATGTTGAAGGTTTGATGGAAACAAATTTTAATAAGCAATGGATTCTTTTTTTTTTTTTTTCTTCTCACAGTGGATTTGTGTGTATAGAAGAATAGGAGGTCATTTTAAAGTATGCAATGTAATATTATACATGTTATTGTAACGAGTATGTTTGCTCTTTTTGTTTTTGCACTTAGATTCAAAGGATTCCAAGGAGAAGAATAAAATGGAAATCCTGTACATACTGGTGCCAAGTGTTGCTATTCCCCTGGCCATTGCTTTACTCTTCTTTTTCATTTGTGTCTGCCGCAATAACCAGAAGTCATCGTCACCACCAGTCCAGAGACAACCAAAACACGTCAGAGGTCAAAATGTAGAGATGTCAATGCTGAATGCATATAAACCTAAGGTAAAATTAAGAATGCATAACTGCATTTATGTCATGGCGTTCAAATTAAAACAAAACTTTAAAACCCTTTCAAGCTTAGAAATCAAATGATATAGAATCAGGGTTTTATAGCACTAGAGTTCCTTTTTCCAGCAAACACACAGACTAACCATGTATCTCTAACTATCCAAGGATGCTGGAACATACTTTCATCAGTATATATACTTCCTGTTAGAGCAGCCATATTATATCCTACTATAGGGTTGTTGAGGTAGGAGGGATCTTTAGGAGATCTGTCTCAGCCCTCTAGGACTCAGAATTTCCAAGAAGGAAATTCCATATTCTTCCAACCAAACAAGAGGGAAAGATACTGAGAAAGAAAAGAGACAAACAGGCAGAGAGAAAGAAAAAATTCAACATTGCTTTCTAACTTCACTGTGAAAAAATCCTTTTTATGCCTAACCTAAACCTCTTTAACATTGGATTAAGCATATTTTAATAGAAATGTTGTGTTCTCTTTCCTGTCTTTCCTATACTCTTTGCATGCTGTTTTGTAATCTACCTTGCCCTCTCCTCTCCATGCTAAATCCACCTACTTCCTTTGAGCTTTTCCTCATCATCTTTCATCAGTTGGGTCTCTTGAGGTCCTGATGAGGAATCCAGGGTCACTGGCCTTTACCTTCAATGGAGCACACATGCTGAAATACAACACAGACTTTCTCTCAGGAAAGCCAACACCTCAATCACAGGCCTCTCAGCAAAGATTTCATTAAATAATTTAGGGTTCTTGCATCTAAAATCCTGTCTTTTCTTTTTATTACAACTCCATAAGAACATTCATTCACTCAGCAAATATTTATCTTCTCTGTGGGTTAGTGACCAGATTCTTCTTTCTCCCTCATGAAGAGGAAATGCATCACTTGTAATGTAATTTTTAAAAAATCTTAAAAAACCCATTGCCAGCAAGTTGATTCTGACTTGTAGTGACCTGTTGAACAGGATTTCTAAGGCTGTGATCTTTATGGAAGCAGACAGCCACATCTCTTTCCTGCAGCTCAGCTGTGGTTCGAACCATAGAATTTTCAGTTAACAGCCAAGCACTTAATTAATCACTGTGCTATCAGGACTCCTTAATGTAATATTAGGAGGAAAAAAAACTGTGTTCCCCCTCTAATTGACAAATCCTTTCACCTAATAAGTAGAATAACATAATTGGAATTGGCACATAACCTTTATTTTATATAATTTTGTATTATTGTTTAGAATTAAAATCATCTGTTGGTAAGGTTTTGGAGTGTTTTAAATGCTAAAAGTTGGTTTTTAAATATTCTATCTCAGCAAAATCATTCTCTCTTATTAAGTGTGAATTATTACCATAAAAAGAGCCACAGACCCAGAAGACCACAGAGTTCACACAGTAGCTTAAGGGACAAGGGTGGAGGTAGGAATTTAACTCTTGGTATCCTAGCTTCTAGCTAGGCAATTGATGTAAATTGCACTGTACATACATATTACATTTCATCTTTACAAAGTTATAAAGGAGCAGATTTCAGAAAACTTAGGTCTTGAGAAGTTAGGTGAATTTTCCAAGGCTAAACACTACTAACTGGTAGAGTGAAGTTTGAAGTTGGTTCTCCTTTAATGCCTGAGCCTTTGTGCTTCTCATTGTACAGGACTCCAGGTTAGATGGCTGTTCAGGGTCTGGATGGTGATGGATTGCCCAGCCGTTCCTCAGGAGTTCTGATAATCCTATGAGTCACTTTTGACCATGAGTCCTTTTACCAGGTGACACTAGACTTGGAGAAAGAGATCATTATGGGATTTGTAGGACAGAATCAAGGAAAGAAGGAGGAGGGTAAAACTTTGGAGCAGGGCTTTCCACTTCACCAGCATAAGCCAGTTCCCCGGGAAGTTCCTGAAAGGCCATTTAATTGCTCTTCAGTACATTAATGTGAAGGTGAGGGCATCTAGGATGAGACCAGTTCCCAGAAAGGGTAAGGAAAGATCATGCCTCACCTACTTGTCACAGGACTTATGTTTCCTTGAGACTGAGCCACCAAGAGTTTAGACGATACTAAGATGGGTAGGGAGAGGAAAGAGAGAAGTGAGTATTGTACCCCTCTTTCTACCTATGAATGCCTAGGAGTCTTGAACACCTTCCCCTTCTTCCTGCTGGCCTTTCTTAGAGTTAAATTTGGTGATCTTTGTTTTTGAAGGATGCCGGATGCATAAAGCATATATGTCAAATAACCCACTAATGTTCTAATTATGAGATTTGCATTTAATCATTTAAGTATATATTTAATCATTTAAAATGTATGCATTAGTATATATATATGTTCTTGTTGTTGTTGTTAGGTGCCACTGAGCCTAACTCACCCTATGTACAACCCATGTACAACAGAACAAAACACTGCCCAGTCCTCTGTCATCCTCACAAATGTTACTATGCCCACTGTTATAGCCACTGTGTCAATCCATTTCATTGAAGGTCGTCTTCTTTTTCACTGACCCTCTAATTTACCAAGCATGATATCCTTCTCTAGAAACTGGTCCCTCCTGACAACATGACCAAAACACGAGAGGCAAAGTCTTACCATCCTTCATTCTAACAAGCATTCTTTCTGTATTTCATCTAAGACAGATTTGTTCCTTTATCTGGCAGTCCATGGTACATTCAATATTATTTGCCAACACCATAATTCAAATGAATCAATGTTTCATGGTCTTCCTTATTCATTATCTAGCTTTCACATGCATATGAGGCAGTTGAAAATACCATGGCTTGGGCCAGGTGTACCTTTGTCTTCAAAGTGACACCTTTGCTCTTTAACACTTTAAAGAATTCTTTTGCAGATTTGCCCAATGCAATATGCCTTTTGATTACTTAACTGTTTATTCCATGGGCACTGATTATGGGTACAAGTGAAATGAAATCATTGACAACTTCAGTCTTTTCTCTATTTATCATGATATTGTTCATTGGTCCAGTTATGAGTATTTTTGTTCTCATTATGTCGAGGTGTAATCCACACTGGAGGCTGTAGTCTTTGGTCTTTATCAGTAAATGCTTCAAGTCTTCTTTCCTTTCAGCAAGCAAGGTTGTGTCATCTGCATATCACAAGTTGTTAATGAGTCTTCCTCCAAATCTGATGCCTTATTCTTCTATGTATTGGCCAGCTTCTTGGATTATTTGCTCACCATACAGATTGAATAAGTATGGTGAAAAGGATACAACCCTGAGGCACATTTTTCCTGATTAAAACCATGCCTCCTGGTCCATGTGCAGGTTCCTCATGAGCATAATTAAGTTTTCTACAAGTCCCATTCTTTGCAGTGTTATCCATAATTTGTTATGATCCATGCAATTGAATGCCTTTGTGTAGTCAATAAAACACAGGTAAACATCTTTCTCATATTCTCTCCTTTCAATCAAGATCTATCTTACATGAGCAATGATATCCCTCATTTCACATCCTCTTCTGAATCCAGCTTGAATTTCCAGCAGTTCCTGGTTGATATACCATTACATTAGGTTTTTGGGTTTATTTAATTATTATTTTCAGCAACATTTTACTTATATGTGATATTAATGATATTGTTTGATAATTTCTGCATTCTGTTGGATCACGTATATAGATCTCTTCCAGTCAGTTGTCTAGGTAGCTATCTTCCAAATATCTTGTCATAAACAAGTGAGTGGTTCCGCTTTGCATCTGTTTGTTGAAACATCTCAATAGGCATTCTGTCAATTCCTGGAGCCTTGTTTTTCACCAATTCCTTCAGTGCAGCTTTTATTTATTCCTTCAATACTATTATTCCTTCAATACTATTAGTTCTTGATCGTATGCTACCTCCTGAAATGGTTAAACATCAATAAGTTCTTTTGGTACAGTGACTCTGTATTCCTTCCATCTTCTTTTGATATTTCTTGTATCATTCAGTATTTTGCCCATAAAATCCTTCAGTATTGCAACTTTAGGCTTAAACTTTTTCTCAGTTCTTTCAGCTTGAGAAATGCTGAGCATGTTCTTCCCTTTTGGTTTTCTAACTCCAGATCTTGCACATTTCATTATAATACTTCACCTTGTTTTCTCAAGCTGCCCTTTGAAATATTCTCTTCACCTCTTTTACTTCATTTCTTCCATTTGCTTTAGCTACTCTGTGTTTGAGAGCAAGTTTCAGAGTCTCTTCTGACATCTATTTTTTGACTTTCTTTCCTATCTTTTTAATGATCTTTTTCTTTCTTCATTTATGATGTCCTTGATGTCATCCCACAACTCATCTGGTCTTTGAACCTTGGTGTTCAGTGTGTCAAATCTATTTTTCAGATGTCTTCAAATGTGAAGGACTCATCTTCTGTACTGAGTCAGACAGTGTTTAACTGCTATTCATGAGGTTTTCAGCAGACAGTTTTTTCAGAAGTGGACTGCCCCATCTTTCATCCTAGTCTGTCTTAGTCTAGAAGCTCCTCTGAAACCTGTCCACCATGGGTGACCCTGATAGTATTTGAGATACTAGTGGCATAGCTTTCAGCATTGAAGCAACATACAAGCTACCATGGTATAACAAACCAACAGATGGGTGGTGTTAGTACATATTTAATCATTTAAAATGCACATATCCCTTAAGGAAATAATGGAAGGCTCTAAGTCATCCATTCCTAAGTGTGTATTAGCTTCTTTGACTCTGGAATAGTTAGAACCGAAGAGCTTTTGGGGTAATCCTCAAGTTGTAAAGGGCAAGTTGAAGTGCTTGGACTGGAACCCTGCCTCTTTATTCAGTATTCTTTGTCATGTAATCATTTCCCTCCTTTACATTACTATTTAAGAAATGTGAAGCCACAGGAAACTGATAGAATTTAGAATGGAAATCAGACATTAGACTCTGATCTCCCACCATGTTTCTCTTCCTCAGCCATGGGAGGCACCCTCCAGAAAGGGGCTGATAGAAGGAAGGAAAGGGCTGTGTTATGGGATAAGAATTCAATGCTGTCTTTCCTACTACTGCCCAGGCATAGA